TCGACAGCTGAGGGGAACGAGGTTGGCCAAAAGAGAGGGTCGGCAAAATCAGCCAGCTGTCGATCGATATCAATCGCCATACGCTCCCGGGCAAATGCGCCAACACGTCCGATCTCTAATTGAAAGGTCAGATAAACGTCAAACCGAAAGGGTCTAGAAGAACTTACCGTTCATATTTGCGGGCGACTGAGCCAGAGTCGCTGGGATCCCGGGAGAAGTCGCATGCGATAGCATAGAGATCCGACTCATCAAGCGAGATGCCGCATGGGTATCAAGTGTTGATCCTAGGATGGTGGTATCAGAAAAGACACTGGCAAGACAATCGCTCGCCTTGGACAGCATAACCGAAAAGTCATCGCTGGCTCGCTGAGCCTTGGTGCGCATTGTTTTTGCTGGAGCCCGGGTCCTCCTTGTCGACGGCTTTGTCGGGGGTAAACTAGACTCATCTGCCGTCTTGCTTGGTGTTTTAAGTGATGGTAGCGAGATTGTAGATTCAGGTAAGACGCAGTACACAGCATGGCTGGCGAAACGGCGAATTGCATCAGCCAACAGATGCTCACTTTCGCCGATCTCCAGGACGATCTTGCTTTCTCGAGCCACAGAAAATTTTCTGGCTTCTGCGAGTGCTTGCGCAGATCGCTCAAAGTCGCGCAATTCCCGCAGGCAATCAGCTTGCTGTCTGAGGATGTTGCCTTTCAGTTGCAATAGGGATTTAGATTGGACTTCGGGGAGAGTTGGTTTTGGAGCTGGGGCTTTCTTTGTGGCTTTTGTAGTAGCGGAACTGGTTGCACGGGTTTGCCGAGTGGTAGTAGTAGTGGGTGTTGGGGTTCGAGGTGTTGGAGTTCGCCGGCTGCTTGCTCTAACCCGTAACTTGTCCATCTTTTCTTCGATTTCTGCCATGCCTGACGCCTCCAGATTGGCAGGCATATCAGTAGAGGTGACCGCTGTGATGATTTTATCTGCTTCAAGGAGAACACGGAGAGCCTTATCATGTGCACCCTGCGTCTTGTACAGAGACGCAAGCGCCATTTGGAGAGACACGGTTTCGATGCTTTTCTGGGTTTGTTTAGACGAATCGGCAGCTGCAGAGAGATGATCCTGTCCCTCACTCATGTGGCCACTAAGAATCCAATGGCAACCGAGCTGGGTCTGCGCCGCCAGTAGCCGTGCATTGGCGTCAAGGGTCTTGTCGATCTTCAGCGCTTGTTCGCCGTAATAGATAGCATCTTGGAACAAGCCATGATGGGCAGATAATGTGGCGAGGTTCAGCAAGCAGGTATGGTGGGAACCTAAATGCGGCCAGAAAGGCGCACCTTGGATGTAGCTTACAGACACATCGGGGGAAGACCCGTTCTGAGACAAATCAAGTCTCGCAATACCATCAGCAACAGCCTCGACATCAGAACTCCCCGCAGCAGGCAACATCTTGTCTTGCTTTCTTTGGGCGAGCCTCTCAACCTTAGCCCATATGCGGCAGTTGAGCCTTACAGACAACTTCGCGAAGTACAGAGCCTGGGTCGCTGAGCCCTGTGCGGAGAACAACCTGGACTGAACAAAGGCGGCATCTGCTACCAGTCTTTCCCAGGAGATCTTCGACAGGACAGTCAGGTTGCTTAATTCTGATTTCCGGCACTTTTCATAGAGTGCGCGCGCTGCTGAAAGGACGGTCGCGGCTTTCTCGGGCTCTCCGGTTTCCAGAATATATTCCACCTGTGCGACTTTGTAGGAAATAGTAGCAAGAGAAGAAATCTTGGATTGACCAAGATACTGCTCACCACGCGATAGGAGTTCACCTGCCTTTTGGCAATAGCCCAGGCGGCAATTCTGCAGTACCAAGCGCGACAGAATGATAATGGCGTCTGACAATTCCCCTGACTGATGGAGCTCCGCGGCACGTAATACCAGTTCCAGTGTGCATAGTTGAGCCTTCCAAAGCCCGTGAATTTCGGTATAGTCAACGAGAGCCTTCAACTGCAAGACCCAGTAGTCCGTGTCATCGATGCAGAGCAGCAGTGTTTTCCAGTCATGGAACTGGCGCACCAATGAAGTCCAGGATGCAAGTGTGTCATCTAGTTCGCTTGCGTCAATCTTGCCGCGGTGGAAACCGATGATAATGCGCAATGAGTTGCTAATATGAATTGCAAATGAAGCAAGATCAATGTCATCTCGGACTTGTAAACCGCCATCCAAAGCCTTTGTTCCTGCATCAAGTAGAGTTTCGATCAAAGACGAATCCAAGGCAGTAGGCTGCTCCAGTAGAAGCCGCAAGGCAGAGAGAATAACACGCGAATGGCGAATAGGGTAGACGTCAGGGGGGTAGAGATCGAGGAGAGAGGAAACAGCTGAGCCGAGAATCAAGCGAAACTCTTCTTCATTTGAAGAATAGCTATGCATGTCAACAAGCAAACTCATCTGCCATTCCAGAAGAAGACATCTCTGTTCGAATTCTAGTTCAACATCATCATAGACAACAGAGGGGTGAGATCCCTTCCTGCGCAGCTTCATCTTCAGAAGGGCGGAAAATACACGGCCAAGCATGAAGCCGGGACTCTTAGGATCCTGATTCAACGAACTTGGGTTACGTCCTCCGCTGCTCTTGGCGATCTGCTCTAGGGTGCCGGAGAGAATGTATTCTTCAATCGATTGTCGAAACATTTGCTCTGAGTCAATGTACATGTTGCCTTCGATGTACAGATGTGCCATTCTCTCAAACTTGAGGGCCGCAAATGCCGTGTTGCGTTGGGAAGGCGAGCAGCTTGACAGCAGCTGGGTAGACTGTTTGAGAAGGGGTAGAAGCTCCCGATAACCCTGTCCGGCCTCCTTTTCTTTGATGTATCGAGACCAGAACAAATTTGAAAGCTTAACAAGTGCCATCCCGAGATTTTCTGTCGTCTCCGTATCCTTTTCACCGGGAGATTCGATAGTCGAAAGCAGGCGATGGCAATCAGCCAGAATTGGAAGCATGTCTTCCCAAGGTGGCCTCTGAGACATGATAGAAAGTTTCCCAATTGCGACAGTCGAATCAACGGCAGCTAGAATGATGCTTCTAGAAATTGAAATGCGTTTGTTGAACGTCTGAATCTCCTTTTCGTCGCCATCTTCTGTCGGTTGGCGTCCAACATAGCGTCTGAGGAACCTGATGAACGCTTGTAGATATTCCCTGATCTGACTGGCAACTTCGTTTTTCTCGCTTTCAGTCTCGAAACTTTTTGTGATGGCCTCTCCGAACCACGCAAGAGCCAGCTTCTTCAGTCTTGCAGCTTCCACCACCAGTTCATCTAGGTCGTTTGCGCTGCCTCGTAATTGCATCCCTAACGATTGAGTTGCCTCTGCCACAGAATCCAAAGCTCCATCCATGAACTTTTTCGATGTCTTCGAAGCCTGAAAATGAACAGATGCAATTTTACACCGAACTGTTGCCAGAGAAAGAGACTGAGTTTTTGAGAGGGGCTTGATGGCTTGTGTGAACAGCTTCATAGATTCATCAAAACACCCCGCGTCAAAAGCGAGCTGCCCGAGAATAGCCACGAGCTTGGCAGTCTGGTTGGCGTTTTGTGTTTCGGAGGACTTCTTCTTGACCTCTGCAATAGATGTTTGCAGTCGGGTAACCGTCTTATAGATTGAAGCAAACTCAGCTTTCTTAATACCCTTGCTCCGGTGAGAAAAGCTACCAAAGTAGCGAAGCAAAGGATCGAACACTTCCTTGCTCTCATCACAGACATGACCGGACAGCTTCCAGCCCAAACATCGAACCTCGAGGGAAAGTAGTTGCAAGTCCAATGATGTCGTTGGCTTCAGACTATTCGAGGCCTCATCCTTCGAAAAAGATGTTCCCGAGCAAAGCGATAGAACTGTATTTGATAATAGCTGAAGTTGGAGAGCAGCTTTGTCATTCGATAGGTGACCCGACTTCAGAGCAGCCAAAATGACTTGAGCAGGGCTGCTCGAATCCGAAAGTTGCAAAGAAGGGCACACCTTCTGGATTGTGGAGGCTCTTCTATCCGCAGCAAATAACCGCATCACATTCGAGTGAAAGGGAACAAGCAGGCCGTACAGCGATTTCCCGTTCGAGATATGAGCAAACGTCAACAGATCCGACATCTGTTCTTTTGAAGATTCTTCGTCCATCTCATCCTTTGCTTCTGTAGTCTTCTTCCCGGTCTTGCCGCTATCCAGATGTTGTTGGATTCTTCGCTTCAAAAGTCGAAGCTCTTTGTATGCAAGGTCGTTCAACCCCAGGGAGATAAGCTTTCCAGCAAGAACACACAGCCCCTGCTCGAGCTGCATGTTCGGGAACTGGCCGTCCCCAGCGTCATTCTTAAGAGTGCGCAGCGTGCACAAAGAAAGTCTGGCGCACTCCGCAGCCGAGACGACGCCCGCGTCAGGGCCATTAGCAGTATCGGAGTTATTATTCTGGCGCTTGGCTGTGGATATCTTTGCGGCATCTGTGAGGGTCTTTAACGTGGCGTTGAATACCTCCGTAGCAAAGACCAGCTTCTCCTGACATGACAATGCCGCCGCATCGTGATCGCCCAATGATTGCAGCGCCGTATCATTTGCAGGTTTCGTCTTTGTTGCGCGGGAAATTCGCGCTCGACTCGGCCCCGCGGCTGGTTCTCTTGTGGATTTTGTGCGTCTCGTGGGTTTCTCGGCCATCGTCGGCGAGCCGCGGAGGAGTGTTTGGAGGGACAAGACGGTAGCATCCGAGCATGTCGTCGTTGAGCGGAGAGCCTGTTTCACGGACTCTGTTAAAGAGCTGGCCGGTAAGACGGTAACCGCCATTTTTGTGGTCGTTTTATCGAAGCCGCAGGACTGAGGTCATCGCTCGCGTCGAGCCTTTGATGTGCAATCGCTATCGGCCGGACACTCTAAACGGGGGTTGTCGTAGCAACAATAGCGCTATACCCTATTAGGCGTTGATAGCCTTATCGCCTTAGGCAATCACGACCTCAACCTTTCCCGCTTCTACAGACCGACGGTTGCTGCTAGAGAACAGAGCTATGGCGTCCAGATTCAGGCCCTTCGGACTCAGCAGACAGATATTTTCTACTCCTCCTCCTCCTCCATTAAATGCTAGCAGAAAATGTCGTTCTCCGGCTGGGCGTTCATATTCGACCTCCGATCGCCTTCCGAAGATCGCAGACACGTCAGTATGGACGGCAATGATTCCCCGATTTCTTCGGGGTGGCAGAGCGCGGAAGGATCCCGCGAAAGAGAAATCTAAGGAGTGGAACCCGGCGACGTTCTACATCATCATGTTCACTCTTATCGGCTCGCAAGCCATTCGCATGCTCACTTTGAAGAATGGCTATGCGGCGTATACTCGGACGACGGATGCGAAGATCGAGCTTCTAGCGGAGATTATTGCACGAGTCAAGAATGGAGAGAAGGTCGATGTGGAGAAGTTACTGGGTACGGGCGATGAGGCAAAGGAACGAGAGTGGGATGAGGGTGGGTTGACCAATATCCGACAATTCTATTTCATTGCTGGTGTCTAACTATCTATCTCTAGTACTTCGTGAGATTGAAGCCGAAGATTCACTATGGCATGAGAAGAAGACCGCCCAGTCACAAGCAGAGAAGCGCCAGGAGCCCGAGAAAGAACAAAGACAACCCACACAGCCTTCGGAAGAAAAGGCCACTGATGAGGTTGTTAAGACAGAGTCTAAACGAAAGCTTAGATTCTACTGAATTGGGACTAAGTTTGGTCTTCAAAAAAGAGCCTCTGGTCTTGAGGCTCGGTCATGCGGGATCGGAATATACGCCCCCGCATTGAGTCACTGCCATCTCAACGATGTTGAATTGATCTTCTAGATCACGATGGGATTTCTTTCTATCCACGACAACTGGTCTAGTATTTCCCACACATATGGGCCCAGTCTATGACCGATATATCCTGAAGGATATAAATGTAACATCATCACCTGTACAGGGAGTCTTTCCTTGGAGTAGATTCCGATCCCCGGTTGTGAGCTTGCAAATCATGCTTCATGTACATACTTTCCTGGACTTGAGATAAGCAACTCAGAAACCAGATCTTGCGATGTAGTCCATTGCGGATCAGAAGATCAAATGCACCTAAATACTGGATCTAGATAAGATTTTGTCTGCTCTCTGGGCACGACTTCGATCAACCCTGAACTATACAAGTCTACACTTACACTGATCATGAAAACAGGAGAATACCAACCCAAACCAGATCTAGATTGATACAACACCACAATCAGGGCCCTCTAAGACAACCCATATACCTTCTTTCCAAATCTATCTGCTGTTGGTACAATGCAAACACAGGTGGTCTCCAACGAAGAAAGAGAAGACATCATGATGCAAAGGGATTCCCCAAGCCAAGCCCAACTAAACCACAAAGAGGGCGGGCATGAAATGAATCTGAGAGAAATGAGAGAAAGATCTCATGCTAAATCGAGGGAACAAAAGGCCTTGACCAAATGAGAGATGAGAAACATATCGCTAGTAAGAAAAACGAAGGAACAAAGACAAGTTCACCAGATAACAGCAAGCCTCCCTACTTCGAGCCCTGCAAGAACTTGGGCCAGTTCTCAGGCCGTGGGACCTGCACCCGGCCAATGTTCTGGTCAAGATCAAGGATGAGCTTGAGCGCGTTTCTTGACCGGAGGTAAGGCAGAGGCGCCTTAGCACCATGGCCGCCGACACTAGGCTCGACGTGGCCAGTGGGTGTAATGGCGTCGCCCTCACCGGGCATGGGGAGGGCTTTCTGCAGGACCTCATAGGCGGCTAGGGTGAAACCGAACTGAGGTGAAGAACGCATGATACGAGCGGGTCCACCTTTGAAGAAGGCAGCTAGACCCTCTTCTTTCCAGACGGTGGTGGCGCAGTGGCGCAGACCGTTGTATTTGGTGTCACCCTTGCGAGCTTCGACTTGCAGACGGGTTTTGATGACGTCGCAAGGGGTGGTTAGGTAGGCGGCGGGCATACCGGCGATGGCACCGGCGGTGAGGAGCTGGACAACGCCGAGCTTGTTTGTAGCAGTTTCGCCAAAGAAGTCGGACTTCAAGTGTGCGTATGTGGGGAAGTAGATGGCCGAGAAGGGGACATCGCGAAGGAGACAGGCGCTGGCTCCCTTGTACAGGCCCACCAAACCGAGGTTCTTGACAATCCAGAGGGCTGAGCGGCGGGGGGCACCCTCGACGTTCTTTGCGATTTCACCCTGGACCTGCAGACGGATCTTCACAATCTCAAGGGGATTTGTGAAGACGACTTGACAAGCACCAGCAGTTCCACCAGCCAGAACCTCTCGGCTGTACTTGATCCTGTTCGTTTCCTTGTCTGTGAAGAAGCCACGAACGAGGTCGTTCACAGTCAGCTTGATAGCCTTTTCAGGCGCCACACCAATCAATTGAGGAATGACACCAGAGTACAGGCCAGTGAAACCCTCGTTGCGGATAACCTTCCTAGCGCAATCGATGGAGTTGTTGTATAGTCTCTCGCCGGGACGAGACGAACGCTGGTTCTGTAGGCGGGTCTTAACTAGGTCAATTGGGTAGACCATGAAAGCACCAAAAGCACCGGCGATACTGCCCAAAGCAAAGTGGTGTACAGACTCAAGAACGTTGTGAAGCACACTCTTGGTCTTCTCCGCAACTTCCTGTCCAGTAGACAAGGCCTGGCCTACAGCCATCACGGGGATACGCCATGAAGCATCGATGACCTTGGCGAAGTCCTTCTGCGAGAGACGTCCCGAAGGCGCATCCAGTCCAGCGAAGTGGAACAGAATATCGGCCTCCATAGGTGTGAACTGGGAGAAACGGGTCACGCGAGCGGCCTCGTTCAGGAAGTCGGCACGAGTGATCTTGCCATCGCTGCTCTTCTTTGTTGCTTCGCGGACCACCAAATCAATGATATCCATCTCGCGCATGACATTTTGGAAAGCACGGACATTGGCGTAGGAGATGCGGTTGCTGGTCGAGATATTGCACAGGGTGGGGAGGTTCTCCAGGACATGGTCGGACAGTTTGTGTTTTGAGGTCTCGAGGATAATGCGTTGGAAGTCCTCCGGCTGGATGAATCCATCCCCATCCTTGTCAAACGTGTGGAAAGCTTGGCGGATGCGCTCACCCTGCAAACCGCGCAGCATCTGGGCGAATTGGGGGTAGGTCATATCATGGCGAGACTTGGAGCGGCCTCCGTACAGCGATGCCCATTCTGAGTTCCAATCAAAGGGAATGCTATCGGCACTCTTGTTCATGTTGTACAATCCCTGCACGGTCTCGAACTTGACACTGCCGGTTCCATCGAAGTCGAAGAGACGAAAGGCGATTTCGTACTCGGCATCGGGTTTCGCGAGGAGGTTTTCGAAGGAGGTCCAGTCGGTAATGTTCAGCTTTCCAGCTCTCCGTCGGTCTGCGACGTTGAAAAGGATACCGTATTGTTCGCGCTTAATCTTGTGCTGTTGGGAGGAAACCGGATCAGCAATTGCGAAGATTTCAGTACTTTTGCAGTCCCGGTTGACACTCACATAGTCTTCCTGCTTAGGTGCCACGGCATTAATGAAGTTCTCCCGGTCCATGAAGAGTTCGCCATTCTCGTCCTTTTGCGCATGACGGACAAAGTTCGAGCGCGACTGGTGGGACAGATCAGGCGCCTCTGTGCTGCCCAGGAGTGATCCCTTCACAGCTTCCGTTACGCTGGCCATTGTGTATATCCAAGTTGACTTCGAGTACTAAACAAGGAAAAGAAAATCCACACAAAAGAGAAAACTGGGGGAAGGAAGGGATGTGGAGAAGGGGAGAATTGAGTCAGTAGCCCAGAAAAGTTATGATAATATAAGCCCACTTTGCAAAGTTTCTGGGGCTTATTCTCTTGATAATATTCTAGAATAGATCAATTATGTATTTCTCAGATAGATTTGATATTTTAATTCTCTAATATAAATTTCACGCATACACCCGTGGTGGCCACGTTGAAATTTTTATTTTTTTCGACCCCTTGTCTTTTTCATTGTCTTTTTCATGTTATTTACCCGGGCAGATCGGACCGAATCAGAGTCTCGTCCCCGATCTCCGCATTACTCCCTGGATCAATATAAATGTGTCCCTAAATTAGCCTCAATGTGGTACTTCTTCTTATTGTTTGAGAACAGCTTTTTGTCTCCTTGGGATGGCATGTTTTTGCCACCACGAGCCACGGTATACAGAAACCTGAACCAGCCACATAATCCAGGGACAGAGCCCCGGAGGCAAAACGCAGAAACACAGTCAGCAGTCGACTTTGAAAGAAAATCGAAAATGAGGGAAAAACCGGAGGTTGAACCTGTCACATGGCCCTTTCGGGACCGGTGAGCCTTAACGAGAAGACGAAAAGGCGAAAAAGGCTCCGAGTTCGGTGCGGAGTTCAGTGGGAAGAAGTTGGAGAATTTCCTTTGGATTGGTCCATTTCATCTCTTCCCCTCTCCCAAGCCTTCCCGGGCTCGGCTCAACTCCGGATTTTATGTACGGAGCACTCCGTACCGTTCCCCTTTTCTCCGCACATACTCCGTACTCTATATCAGATAATGCACTTGCATTTAGCCGACTAGAATTGCTAGGCTCATGTTCATTCTATATCTATATCTTCCTATTCTTCCAATGTGCATGGTTCTCCAGAGCCTTCACAAGACTCAATTGCAGAGTTGGAGGGATCTCGGAAATCTGACAACTATGTACTACTCCATGTATAAATCGGGAGGAGAGTCATACATTGTAGGTAGTGGGGTGTAGCGGTGTAGCTACGACACTCGCCACCGCAACTCCCAGCCCTGAGAGTACTTTCCTTGAGCTTAAGCCTTTAAGGCCCAAGGGATGGTTCACTGGGAGCCAAGCCTGCCAACATTGCCTTGGGCAATTAATATGGGGAACTCCACACGGTGCCTCCGAGCTATGTTGCAAGACCATCTGTTCTATGAAACGAGATAAAATAAACTACCGATTTCAATGCAGGGTACATGGTGTATGCATGAATAGTATATCTGCAGTCATTACACCTAGCAGTACTACTGAGGGCTGTAAGCTAAATTCAATACCATACTCTACGGCAGTGTGTAGCCGCCAGTGCGCCATATCGTATTTTTCCACATTAAATTTTGACCGTCTTCAACACCGCTGATTTACTACTACCTCCTTCCTCCAAATTCTAGTAATTAATTTCTACAATATCCTAATTTTATAAAGGTTATATGGAAGTCCATTTTTGCAGCTTAAGCGTTTTTCCCTTTTCTACTATCTGCCTAATAAACTAAGAAGGGGGAGAAAATATCTATATGACTACCTAGATATCTAAAAAGACTACCGAAGGAGACTACTAAAAGAGACCACCCAAAAAGACATATAAAAAGACTATCGGAGAAGACTACCAGACTACGGCCGTATAAGCGGCCGACTATCCTTGTCTATAATACCTCAATTTCTACAGTATCTCATTCCTACAATATCAACTTCCATACTGTCATTTTCTACACTATTAATTTCTCTCAATTTCTATAGTCAATAAGATACACATATACTAATTTATGAAATGTTCGGCTGGCAAAATACGATATGGCGCACTGGCGGCTATACACTGCCGTACCATACTCACATAGAGCAATAGTCAGATGTCCAGCAAAAGACAAGAGAAACAGTAGAGTTGAGGACTGATTCAACGAAGGCATAGTTATACTTGCTACATTAGAACGATGAGAACTCTATCACGAAAGCATAAGAAAAGTTTTATCTATCAGCTACTAAATCTGCTATACTTACCTTTAATCCCCTTCGAGCATAGAGCCTAGCGTACATTTTTCTTGTCGGACTCTATGATCCAGAACTTGAGGGCCATCCATGCATAACCTCGTGTACATAGTGTACAGTGTTCTCTTCGGCCCTTACGCTTTGTCTTCTTTCATACACTTTAGCTTTCTTCGTCTACCTTCCATACATGGAGAATAAAGCTCCACGTGCCATTGATTTTGTTTCGACCAATACATAATCACAAGATTTTCTCCGGGTGCGTTCTGAGACTGCTACACCTTGTTGATGAACATAGAATAAAAAGCTTCTATACAATAGACATTGTCATTTCTTCCATCTGAGGTTATTAAGAAGGAACAAGGATAGTATGTCATAATCTCGAAGAGTGAGCTACAATATATTTGTAAGCCATCTCTTCGTCCTAAGACGCTTTTATCCCAGCACACAACAAGCCATAGAAGCCTCGACCTCCCAACCCGATCCACAAGGCCCCCAAGTAGAATGCTACGGATTCCGCTAATCTCATAGAAGCTCGATGCAGTACTTATTCCAAGTTCTGTGAGTCTTCTGTACATATTTTCCCACGTCCTTGCATATCTGCTTTTGATATCACTCTTACCGTCCAGTCCCGGCTCCAGTCATAGGTCCATATACTTGGATAGAGCAAGTCGCTCCTCTCATAAAATCAAACACGTCCTCCCCTGGTGTGGTCTTAATCTAGATGTATGTATATATGTATATATGTCAACTATGTGTTGTCGATCTTGGAGGCAGTATAAATAGAACACATGTTCAAGCATTGCATCGTACAACATACATGCCCTGTTTTGAAAAATTAGGAAATGAAGTCACTAGGACAATCACGCAAGAAGAATGTAACTTAGATGACTATTATCTTGTCAGGACTGGAGGTCAATTGGCCCGAAAAATGCCACAAAATGTGACCAACATGCTACAACTGCATTTAGTGTGTATCTCCTATGGTGTATCTTCTATGTCCAAGTATAGATTCTTCATCGCTCAATCTCGAAGAGTAAAAATAGTTGATAGCGGCATCAACCCCATGTGACATCTAAATATAGTACGCCGCAACGATCCTGCCAATATTCAAACCAATCAGGTTTCGCTGTGACTGCTAATCACTGTGATGATGCGGGGATATCACCAAATAATGCAGGAATCCACTTAATATCGGTGCGATCTTCCTCACCTATTGAGTGATAGTCGGTCGAGAGTTTCGAATCAAATGGACAGGAAGGACGGAATGTGGGTTCCAAGTGCAGTTGGCTGCAGGGCATATTGGACACCCTATGGAATCCCTACCATCCGTCACATCACACTAGACGGCGATCCCAACCCGTGATTTTTATTGGCTGGATGGGACGAAATCTTTCCCAACTTAGAAACTCAAGTGTGATGGTGGTGATGTGTGCACCGTCGTGCATAGGGTGGGCGCTTAGGCAGAAGAAGGTTGATACGCGTTCCCCCTCTCTCCCTCAAGTGTATATAGCCGCCCTCTGTCCCCCAGGAGACTACGTTTTGCATATTGTCTGAGATTTTCCTATTTTTCTATTTTTCTATTTTTGCCTTTTCTATTTCCGTCCTTCGACTTGGCTGGCCCAAGTTCTTCAACTCCTTATCTACATCTACGTCAATAATTTGTGTCTCTCCTTGCTTGGATATATTTGTTGATCAAAATTTCCCTGCGAAAACCAAACTCCCAAATAACATCAACTGCATTGCTGTCTTAAACTTCTTCAACTATCGTGTATTCTTCATCCGTCACAATGTACACTGCCACAGCTCGTGTCGTCAAGCCAAAGCTGTCCTTGAGCATCTCTGCTGCGCAGAATGTTCCTCGGCCATCCCTGTCGCTCAAGTCACCAAGTGCTCTTCCTCGCACGCCGGTCTCGCCAATCTCTGCGGCGAGCCCAACCAGCAAGAGATTCTCGTCACTGCAAGTTCCAAGCTATGCATACACAAACTCTTGCTCATCGAAGAGCATCCTCAAGAAGCAGTCGTCCTCAGGGGCTGGCACTGTTGACAAGCGTATACAATTCAAAGGCACGCCGACTGTCCATTGTGTGACGCCAATTGAGAATCCAGACGAGTATTACGGCAAGCACATGAAGATGTCACGAGAAGAGCGGCGATGGACGGTCAGACAGTGAGATCAAGTTCGAGATTTGTATCACTAATGACCGTCCGCAGTTGGGGCAAGGGCAACGGGGAGCGACCAGGTGCTTCTGAATGACGTGGGGTCTACATCTTGCTTTTGCAATGATGTCGCGCTCTGCACCCGGGTCTCTTGTTGATCACCTCAATCCACACAGCAACTCGCGCGCTCGAAATCGACGTCCTAAACTGCAAGGTGAACTCCTAGAAATGACAGCACGGCGCAATTAAGGTTTCATTCAGCCTGTCTCAAGATGGTTCTCTGGATGATTATGCTGCCTCTTGCGCTTTTCGCTGGCCCAGAGCTCATCAGTTGTCATTCATCTGGGCTGACTTGTTCTTGAAGGGAAAACGATGTATCAGTGTTTTGGAGGACATATATTTATGACGTTATGATCGGACCTGGATTGATGATTTTGATTTTGGAGTATAAATGTTTTACCCTAGTCGTTCGTTACTGCAAATATAACTCGACCCTATATTGACATTCACAATTCTAATAGCAAGTGGATTCAAGATCAATAATCTTTGCGACAGTGCTGAGCATATACTCCGTAGATCACCACATCTCGATTGCTGCTTTGGTACCTGTTTTAGGGCTCCATTTGAGGGCTTCTCCGGCCCGTGCGCGTCCAATCTTTTCCGCCCCTGTCGCTGGTCGTATGTCAAGTATCTTACCGATGTTATTCTCAGTTACTTCTGCTGCGACTTTTCGCAGATCGGCACTAAGAACGAGGAGATGTTTAGCCTCCCGCCGTGGTCTGCTCACATTGGCAATTGAAACGTCGTGGTAAGCGGAGATGAACGCCCGAAGAAACAAGCCACTCAACTAATTTGTTGCCGACAACAGTGATGATACATCAGTAGCTATCGTCGAGAAAACAAAGAAAGACTCCGGAAATGCAGCCAAAATCCATTTCCTTGAAAATGTAACGGCCGACACGCGCGCGCATCGGGGAATTCACCCTATCATCGCCCTCGAATCCCACCAAGACAACCTCGCAAACCTTGTACAGAAAGCCCTTAATTACCTACCAGAGTCAAAAAAAGGCCATGGGCTCAAACTTGCAGATGGGACTCATCGCTGCCTCCCCGATTTCATATCCGCCACAAGAGGCCCTGGAATGCGGTCCAACCTGTCCGTTGGCCTCGACACTGGAAAAGCGCTGTCGGTTGCATGGCAGATCCCCATGGTCGGAGTGCACCACATGCAGGCGCATCTTTTGACACCGGGACTCGTAGCATGTCTGGAAAATGAATCCAAGGCCGACCCACCCGCAATGGTGCCCGAGTTCCCTTTCCTGTCCATTCTCGTCTCTGGCGGACATACGACTCTGGTTCAATCTAAAGGCCTCACAGACCATAAGATCCTCGCTACAAGCGAAGATATAGCTATTGGAGAGGCGCTTGATAAATCCGCACGAGATATCCTACCTGATTCTTTGCTTCGGGAAGCTAAAAGTACCATGTACGGCAAGAATCTGGAGCGATTCGTCTTCCCTAATGGCAAGGCTGATTTCCAGGATTACACGCCACCAGATTCTCGGGGTAAAGAAATAACCAAGCGCGTAAGCGATTGGGGCTGGTCTCTTACGACTCCATTTGCGAACACGCGCATGATGCAGTTCAGCTTTTCTTCGATTTCGAGCATGGTTGGGAAGATTGTTCAAAGTAAGGGTACGAACATTAAGATATCGCATGCCGAGCGTGCCGATCTAGGCCGGGAAGCCATGCGCGTCTGTTTCGAGCACCTTGCTTCCCGCACTGTTATCGCTCTGGAGACTCTGCGGCCGCACAATACTGGCAAGAATGAGATCAGAACCCTCGTTGTCAGTGGTGGTGTTGCCGCCAACCAGTTCCTCATGAAAGTGCTCACTTCATTTTTGGAAGTGCGCGGCTTTGGCAATATCAAAATTGTTGCTCCGCCTCCATATTTGTGTACCGACAATGCGGCCATGATTGGGTGGGCGGGCATTGAGATGTTCGAGGCTGGCTTCCGATCCGACCTCAGCTGTCGTCCTCTGCGGAAATGGACCCTCGACCCGCAGGCTGATGATGGAGGTATCCTTGGCCCAGGAGGCTGGATCCGAGAGTGATGATTGAAGTTGGATGGCAAGCTACTTGTATACTAGTGACATACCCTCTCTGTATAATAGCTCGGGTAAGATAATGTAGTCTTATTCCCATAATTTCTTGATACAGCGCGCAATGAACAAATTTTGAAAAGAGGAGTCATAGTGCATTATGGACAAGTAAGACCCAGAATCATCAGAGACGCCGATGCCATGTAGCCTCCGAGTCCACTCATCACCCATGCATCCTCCACAGTAGGGTATCGAAGATGCGCCGTTGCAACCCATGAAAACGAACCAAACTCGCGACCGGCCGACTGTGCAATGCAAGTACTTTGAGATAATGAAGTCGTAACCGTCATGATCAGCCGCCAACAGGAGGGCCGCTTCGTTGCAGCGAAGCAATCTGTTTTCGAAGCTCCAGGAAGAAGTCTTTCCCGTTCGCCATGTTTTGCGCTGTAGATATGGTTATTACTTGTTCAAGCTATGCTGTGATCGAAGGGAAACTGTACCCTTGGGACCCCAGGAAGTAGATCGTTGGGTAGGACCGTCTTTAAAATGAGATTTGTAGGGTGTGGACAACTTGGTTTCTGTATCAATGGCGCATAGGTTAGGCTTGAGTAGCTACGGGGGCAGATAAAGACGTACCATAAGGCCCTGCTGTATCTCAGAAACTTGGTTAGACCTTGTACTTGCAAATTAGGTGCATATACATACCTTTCAGAACGTTCTTAACCTCTGCGGTGTTGAAGCCCCGTACAGGGACATGCTGTTCCTGCGGAGGGTTCGATGCGCCCCAAGCAGCACTGTTATCGCCTGCATTTCCCTGTCCTCCTGTTTTATCACGGTTGTTCGAGTTGCGCTGCGACGCCTGGCGACTGGGTCCACCCCGCCATCTTAGGAAGGCAGTGACAGTTAGCGAAGCTGAAGCGCGAGGTGTTTTCGGGTGGATAACGCGTACCTGTTGTCGCTAGAACCGCTCATGTTGTAAATCTATGGTAAAAAAGAAAAAACAAAGCTTGATAGAAGGAATAAAGTCGTAAATAGTTCACAAAGGACAGCTGTGGATGTCATGTCTCTATCTCAAGCTGCGGAGGTGCTTAAAGTCCAGATTGGTGCCTCAGGCCAATAGGCCCAGACAAGCTTGGTTGTCTCCGCCTTGACCAGATAACCGAACATATCATCGCGCCTTGCAGCTTCCACGGGCTCTGGCGTCCTTTGCGTCCATTGTGTCCATTCGTCGTTTTTAGTTTGCTGTCGCATGACTTGACACTTGCGACTTTGATCTTTCCGAGGCCCTGCCCGAGTCGGCCTCTGAACGCGACCTGACGCCGTCCGATTAACAATCACCATCCCCAACGAGCAACATACACATACCCGAAAGCTCGTTCTTAAATTATGGCACCGTCGGTCAGACATTCAATCTCTGGTCGTCCATCACGAAGTAAACCTAGGTCTTCCCTCAAATCACCCGAGAGCGGCTCCTTCGATTCCCCTGACGGCCCTCCTTCAAAGAAGCGAAAGTACGTTCCAGGTGGTCCTGGAGGAGGAGGAAGATTCGTCGACTTTGACGCTGCAGCTGCAGCAGCTGCCGCCGCCGCCCAAGAAACTCCTAAGAAAACTACTCCGCGACGCCACTCCACAAGTGCTCGAGGCCGTCCACCACGTGAGATGGAGCAACCATTCTTAGCCCCTCCACCGCCACCTCCCATCATACCAACAACACCACCCTCTATGTCGCGACCAAGGCGGGATAAGAACCAAACACGCGGTCGGTTCACCTCTTCCACGGCCGCCGCTCTTGCTCTTCAACAAGGCGATGGGTACAAGCCACGCGAAGAACGCGGGTGGGAAGAGTTCCATCCTGACTTGGACATTGATGGCAAAATTGCTGTCTTCACGTCTGAAGAGGTTGATGCCCCGGATAACTCTGCTCCTATCTTGAGTCTGGAGTCACTGGCTGGTGCGACAGTCTCCGATCTTTCAGGATCACCAGTTATCATATCAGGCGACATGGCTTCCCCAATCCCAATCAAACGTAGGCCTGGCCGTCCACCTCGTCGCCCCGAGGCCATCCTTAATGCCCTTCTCGCCCAGCAAGGACAAAAGATCATACCGCCACCGGGCCCCAACCCCCGGGAGAAATTAACGCTACCTAAGCCGTCGTTCAGGCTGCGTGACCCTTTCACATTCTATGAGAAGAAGGGTGTCGGTCATCAAAACTATGTCGATCGAACCATGGCAAACGTGGGATACCAGGAGAGTGATCTCTTCCTCCGCCATGACCGGCGATTTATTCGAATGACTGAAGGCACCCAAGAAGACGACCTCGATGTGATCCAACCTGCCATGACAGATGGAGACATTAACACCACCATTGGACGTGTCGAATATGATATGGATGAGCAGGATGAAAAATGGTTGGAAGAATACAATGCTAAGCGCCGTGAAGATCAACTCGAACCCATCAAGCCCGCTGTGTTTGAGATTACCATGACCAAAATTGAGAGGGAATGGCATGCCCTTGAGAAGCGTATCCCCAAGCCGAATCCCAAACCCCCACAGACCGGGCGGCTTCGCTCTAGCTCTGCAGCTGCGGTCAACGGCGAGACTGCTGGACCAGGCGAAGAACAAGATAGCAAGTGTGCTATCTGTGATGATGGCGATTGTGAAAACTCGAATGCAATTGTTTTCTGCGATGGTTGCGACCTTGCAGTGCATCAGGAGTGTTATGGTGTTCCTTTCATTCCTGAAGGTCAGTGGCTTTGCCGCAAGTGCCAGTTGTTGGGAAGAGGGTCCACCAATTGTATTTTCTGCCCAAACACTGAGGGTGCGTTCAAACAAACTACCTCATCCAAATGGGCTCATCTACTCTGCTCTTTCTGGATCCCTGAAGTTTCTATTGGTAATCCATCTCTTATGGAGCCGGTGACCGATGTCGAAAAGGTTCCACGGAGCCGGTGGAAGTTGAATTGCTACCTCTGCAAACAGCGGATGGGTGCATCAATTCAATGCAGCAACAAAAACTGCTTTGTTGCCTTCCACGTCTCATGTGCGCGCAGAGCTCAACTTTATCTAAAGATGAAGATTGGCCATGGTCTTATGGACTCCCACCTTCTCAAGGCTTTCTGCGATAAGCACGTTCCTGCTGACTGGCGATTGGAGCATGGTACCGATGCTGCGACTGCTGACGCCATCGAATATTACCGCAATGCCATGCAAGGTAGGCGCTGGGGAGACAGCCAAGCTGCAGCTCTCTCGATGGGTCCAGCGCACCCCAATGACGCAGGAGAAGAGGATCGCACCCTCACTCCTCGCCTCACCTTAACAGTAGGCGGTAATAAACGAAAACGTGTCCCCAGAACAATCTGGAAGCTGCCTTCCGGCGCCCCGGTTATCCCCCAGGTTGTGTTAAACTCAGTGATCGCTTCTCTTGCGCGTTTTACAGTTCGCCAAAGAAAGCAATATGCTGAGGATGCATCCAAGTATTGGACGTTGAAACGAGAGGCGAGACGTGGAGCAGCATTGCTCAAGCGACTCCAGTTACAGCTGGAGACCTTCTCATCTATGGAAATGACACGAAGAGACTATGTGGCAATGGGTGTTCCAGGACACAAACGTCTGGAGCGTCGCATTGAGTTTGGTGAGCGACTTTACAAGGATCTTGATCGATTGAGGATGCTATGCGATGAAGTGAAGAAACGCGAGAGGGAGAAGTTGAAGGATGCAGAAATGCTCCGTAGCATCGTCGATCTTGTCTACTTCCCTACGTTCCCACTGCTGTGGCCAATCCTTGAGAAAGCTCAACTGTAGGATATACTCGTCTTACTTTGTTAACATTCATACTGACTTTATTCCAGGCTCGATGGAAAGGGTGTGTTTGCACCAGGTTTGATGTCAATTCGACAAAGGCTGAAAGAACGATTCTATCCGTCTGTTGCTGCCTTCTCTGCCGATTTGGCCAGTCTTTTCACCTCAGAAATCGGTGTGGAGCCCGCTGGCGATACCGCGGAACTCCAAGCGCAGATCAGTGGTCGCGCCCCGGAGCTCAGCCTGGAGCAACGCGAGAAGAGAAAATTGGCAAAACGGATAATCAAAGTCATCCAGCCTTCCCTGGAGGATGCTATCAGAAAAGAGAGCGAGCTCAACCGCAAGCCATTCGAGAAAGAGTTGAAGGAGCTGGATGTGATTCTTGACCACAGCGTTATGTCACGCAGTGGCGATTCTGTCGAACCGGAAGGTGATACTGAGATGTCTGGTCACCCTGATGCTATGGAAGGAGTTGAAGAGACACTGCCTACGACAGAGGCTCCAACGGAAGCCCAACCTGCAGATGAACAACTCCCAGAAGCATCTGGGGCAGAAGAGCTACCTCCTACTGAAGACCCCATGAAGAGTGTTCCCACCTACTATCGACATCCCACGCCTGTCTTGACCGAGCAAGACCAACAGCTGCCGTTGGCTATGGGTGGCATTCAATGGTACATGCAGCCATTTGATCCTGTCGGTACAACTGTTCACGAGGAACGGTGGACTGGGCGGGATGTCATGCGTGGAATGAGTGAAGAACTCAGTGAACTTGATGAGGATGAACTCGAAGGGTTGAAGGACTTGGTTGATGATGGAGACCTGAAGGGCCAGACCACCAGCACCCCGGCCGCTTCACAACAGAATACCCGTCGGACTCGACGTCTGCGAGGCTCACGATGATTACTTCTCCGGACATGATGCGTATAGGGTTCACGAATTTGATTTTAGCGCAGTCCAATTTCAGGAGTTGGTGTTAGTTTTATGAGTATCTGTACTAGTTCTATAG